AGTTATCGCTTTAAAATTCTTACATGTGCCATAGAGTAATATTACTCTATGACATGTGCAAATGTGCAATGATAATGTGAATAACTGATAAGATAGTGAACATCATAGTGTAACCACATAATATTAAGTATATACCACTAAACTATTATAGACTATATTATTATATAGTATATGTGATTGTAACCAAAGAACCTTTACATACCAGCTGCTATTATATACGTCATTTTAGGTATTATTATTTATTATAGGCCTCAGAACAGCCTGAAATTAACTAATATTATAGTTCAGTTTGTGGGGGCAATGCCCCCACCAATYTTAGGCTGTRGGGGCARTTGCCCCCATTCGCCCCCGCCAAGTTACGCCTATGCTATAATGAATAAGTTTATGTAACAAATTAATCTATACGGGAATTGATTCGTATGTCGATTCTAGATTATTTATTCAGATATAAAAGTATGAAAAAATCGCGATAAATCCTGTTTTTCTCCATGAGATGTTCTATAACTGCCAATATCATTTTTTCCGTACCATTAACCTCACAAACGGTAAAAATAAATGTGATAATGATCTTACGACGCCGAAACATATTACCTAAAACAATCACGATGGTAAAAATTAATAACTATCCCGTCTATCCTAATAATATCCGTTAATAATTTCTTTATCTTTATCTTTGAATAAAGTCAATTGGTTTTTTGGCTATCGGAACCCCGCGGCGGGCGATCACCATCCTCGGCGGCAAGGCAGCACGCCGCGAGGTGATCTGCCACTGCCGCGCGCACTGGGCGTGTGGGTCACGTGACTGCTGGCGACGGAAAAGCTCGGCAGCGGGCGTCCCGGCGAACTGTGGTGATCGGGGGGGCCGCCGCCACAGCCCCGGCAGTCGATAAGGGGAACCCAGTGCCGTCGGACGTATCACCTCTGTTCTCGCTCGCGCACTTCACGGGACTGTGTGTGTGGGTGCGTGCGTGTGTGTTTGTACAAGTCGGTGCACGAGCAGCGAGCGTGCGCGCGCGCGCCCGCGTGTGTGTCTGTGTGCGTCGCTCCGCGTCTCGCGCGCCTCCTCGTTGAGCAGTCCGCCGCGTCCGTCGTCTTCGTCCGCGCGCGGTCCGTCTCTCGCAGCAAGTCTCCCCCAGACTTTCAATATTATTTCATTATCGTTGTTGCTATTATTATTCTAATCATAAAATATATTGCCGTAATCGTAGAACTCGCACACAGATCTCAAATATTAATTTTTTTCTCCGATTTTCGACGTACTACAATTTTATAAGTATTAATATTATTACCGTCGTGAGTCTACCAAGACGTCATCTCCGTCTTCTTTACACCTCTATCGCCAATCACCGACACCATAATAGACACTCCGGCCAACGAAAACTTACCTATACCTACTTTTATTCGTTAAAACCCGTAAAGCAAAAATATTGTAATCCTATCATTATAGAGTTATCACATGAAAGACGCGATCATACCTATTTTTTTACAATATCATACATAATATCCAAATATTTTTTTACGCTGCACGTAGTCGTCGCATGCACTCCACAACAGACTGTTTGATAACGTTTCACCGCCGACGACGATTAAATTTTTTTCGCGTGTTCGTCGTCTTTGATCTCGGCCGACTAAAAAACGCACGACGTTACCTCACAATAACAGTAATAATATTATTATTATTGTTATTGTTGTCGTCACCGTCATAAAATTGACTCAGCCACGCATTCACCGACAGTCCACTTTCATGAATGGCATGGGCTGGAACACTGCACGTTGGCGACGGGTACGTGTGTGATGACATCCGCAGCGCGCGTCCATCAAATTCAAACATAATATACATATTAAATTATTATAAAGTGCTATACCCAAACTCGCTACTTGGTACTTATACTGAAGTGGTGTCATTTGAGGTGGGCAAATCTGTTGACGTTCACCTTAATGCTGTGGTATCCTGCAACAGTCTTATTGCACCGTCCAAATGACACATTCCACGAATGTTTTTTATTTTTATTAAAAACGTCCTTCATCACCTCACGCTGCGCATTATAATATGTCATGATGATAATATGACCCGCAGACTAGTCGGTAAATCAGCAATGGCTGGSTTTTCAACAATCTCTGCTGCAGAGACTGCGATAAGCGAACACTGCCACATAATGACGCCTCTAAAATTATTCTGTCCGACTGTTTTTAATAAGGATTTTTCCACGTCACACCAAGTAGAAAGTTCATCTCCGTAGTATTGCGGTAAATTTTAAGGGTAACAAATTTTTGTTAGATATATTTTGAAGAGATTTCTGGTCTCACTGTTCGTTAGAATAAATGGCATAACATCATGTAATATGTTTGGTTTTTTGAATACGTTTWTGACTTTTACGTCTTCGTGTATTTACTGTGTGACATCTTGGCTCAGAGCCCTTCGAATCATGATCACCTACGTATATTATAATATTTTTGTGTTTTCTTCATACATATATATATGTAATGTGTACCTAATATACATGTACATGTGCGTATTCTATTTCTAGTCATCTTCCATCGTGCTGTTCCACGCACCGCAATTATTGCAATCCGTCGCCATTGCATCATTATAACCGTCATCGTGCGCACGTTAGATATTATAACATATACATATTATAGTCAGGCGTAAGCTAACATAATATTAACCACATTCAATTATAATAAGGACAATTATTGTCGTCTTTGTCCTCTGTTACGATACATACATAATATATTATACACATTATATAAAATATTTCGTATATTATCGTATTTCGAACTCGACCGTTGCGTACCTATGCACAGATACGTCTATAGTATTGGCATAATGCAATATATTATATTATTATATTTCATACATTAAATACATTATTTATACCCATACAAGTATATTGTTACATCAACAACAGTATAAGTAGCCAGTTAGGTATCTAATACTACCTGCACAAACAATATAATAATAATCTGACCAATTTTGATGATTTACATTATGCGCGAACGCGACACGYGACCACCACTCCAAAATGCAAACGATGTGCCGTGACCTTGACACCACTCAACGATAAAAATTATTCTGATTCGACATGACTTATCGTATGCTCAAATGGTTTATCTTAATTTGTATCAATGTCTTATCGTAGAACGGCGTGCCTTTGGCCACCCTATGGCCTATATGCTACCGTTACCCATATTATTATTATTTTTGCATCGCGATATCTAGGAACATTTAATATATTATATGCGTATGGACGCGTGTTCTAGTCTAAATGAGTTATCGATTGCGTCAAGGGAAAAAATAAATAAGCAAACGTAATTCGAAAAGCGAACGGAATTCGTTATAACGAGTTGTGGCCGGGAAGATTATTTAATAAAATATTTTAATAGTGCCGGGCACGAATCAGAACCGACCGTCGCCTTTTTCTTTGCTATTCACGGGATTCACTGTTGCTCGTGGATGGCCAAATGTATTTTTCGTTAACTATTTAGCGGGAGAAGCAAACTACCGTTAAAAAGTCGTATGTTGTGGTGGATGAGGCGGCACTTAAACGTAAATGTTTACATTCTCCATACACCATGACGTAGAAAACATCGATATATTATTCGTTAAATAACTTATTGTGTGATTAATATTTGCTGTTTACTACTGTACCATAATACGTCTTCGTTATGGGTACTGCAGCTTTAAGTTAAATGTTTCGTACACGTCTCTTTTATGTGTTTTTCTATTTTCTTGATACAATATACCTACACCACAGGTAAAACTACAATATTAATATATAATACACTACACCGTATTATTTGYACAAATATACGCATATTGTATTTATACGTACATATTTAGAAAATAAYATTAATAATAAAAATATAATATATTTTTCTCTAAATAAATGTACTAAATAATTATTGTAAACATGATTACTATACTACTTATCAGATAACACCGTCATTATCGAGTGATCGTTTTAAAAATAACTACATTTATTAAAGACAATCTACACTGATTGATACTTAAGTGCAGGAACAATTTAATTGTATTAAAGTATGAATTAATAGAAACACACATATATAGTTATTATTATATATGTATAGTTTGTTTCCATAAGGTATAGTACAATTGAAAAATATACGAAATGAAAAAAAATAATTTAAAAACATTTCGCTTACTCAGATTATTTAATAATTGCTAAAGTACTTAGAATAATTCTATAACTACAGCTTACACATTAAATGTAACAGATTATTTTTCAATATTCCTTATATTCATTTGAAAAATTGAGTATCTTATTTTAGTTACACTTATAATGTATAAAACTTTAGGAAATACAAAACACAATGCTTGTGTATTATAGGTATGTATATTATATTCGTATAAAACAAAATTTTACTTTTATAATGTTATATTATTCATTTAAAAGTTTATATGATGTCCCTACATGCGAAAGATAAGTTAAATAACGTAAAAGTATGTTTATTTGAAAAGTTATGAAATCATTTTATAGATTAAGATATATTTTTATTTTTATTTTACAACATCATAAAATAAATTTATCCAATTCCTATTTTATTTCATCGTGACTAAATATATTCTGGCTGTATAAATTATTTCAATATCGAAAAAAGTAAAAACTTTTATATTTATATAACCATTAATTTACTTTTTGAATACATTATATACACTATTAGTCTCATAATTACCAAAATGTAAAGAAGAAATTACACCAATTAYAAATTATTTAACTTCATAATCTATGTTACCTAATAGTTTTAATTTTTTAATTTTTGTTTATCAATTACAACTTTGATTCAATTATTAAACAGTAACATAAAAAAAAAAATTAAAATATCGTAAGATGGGTAAAGATTAAATAATCRATTCTCATTATACAGTTTATAATAATATTGACAATACTGAGTCATTGAATACAACTATCTACAACATTATTTCAACAAAATTGACAAGTTCTTTTCCATCATGTTTCGTATTTTACCGAACATATTAAATAGTGCCTAGATTGTTTGAGGGAAAAATTGTTGGATTTGTGTTAGATATTTAGCGATGATTCATCACGATTGATTTGAAGAAATTTTCTAGATATTTTAGATTAAGTTAGGTAAGGTGTGTTTCATAAATAGTTTGATCAACGCTTATTTGTAACGAAAACCAATTTTTTCGCTTCATATTGATTGGTAAAAAAAAAAAGAAGGTTTTTCCATAATATCGATGTGTTCCCTCTGTTGTCATTGTCTTTCGTTGAGGTCATAGACGTTGATTTATGATTTAATAAAGACATCAGTTTAAATGTAATTATTGTACACTACAGAGCCGAGATATTCGATAACTTATGGATGGAGAGATATTTCTCGGAAAGTTCTACATACAGCTGAATGTATATATATATATATATATATATCATTGAATGTGTGAATTACTATAACCTATAGAAATACTCGGGTGTATTTGTAATTTCCGTTAAAGTTGATTATAATATGTATAATAAGTTTTCTTGAAGTTTCGACAGTAGTCTGCGCAGATATCAAATTGTCAATACACACTATAATATATTATAGAAAATATTCTGTAATCAATATATCACTGTCAGAACAGACCGACCTCGTTTACAAATTTATTTTGACACGAAGACATAAGAGGAGGAGAATTTCAAAAATATTGTAATATAAATTTGCAAACAAAATAGTCAAACTTTCCTACTAAAGATGTAAAAATATAATATAATAATATATATATATAAATATATACACGTGTATTAAGTTGAGCAGGGTTCATATGTGCTCTGTTAAAATGTACTACACGCTATTTGGGGCCGTGTATACAAACATTTACGTCTTCCTCTTATCATTATATACGACTGCCCGGGCACATGTAAACTCCCCTAAATTTTGTAAATTCCCCTAAAAACATTTTGTTACCGTATTACATTTGTGTAAACTCCCCTAAAATATTTTGCTACCGTATTACGTATACGTAAATTCCCCTAAAAACATATATATAAGATTCTAACTCTCAGCGGTTCTCAATCGCGCGGTGTGCTTCGAATGCTCTTGAAGTGTACTTATCCTATAAAAATGACGAATCAAAAATTAGTAAATGGCTACATTACTGTTTTGGATTGATATTTTTAAATCCAGAAGATGTTGAAAACTGTTTTAGTAGTGAATTGCACAACACTAAACCAAACGATGATCGCCTGGATACATTTATGATTATTTAAAAAATACATATATTGGTGAATAAGCAATTTTTCCACCTAAAGTCTGAGTAGAAGCTTCTTCCACAAATGCTTGTGAATCATTTCATGCTCATTTTAAATCAAATTTTAACCATAGCCATCCAAATATTTTTATATTTATTGACACATTAAAAAATATTCAATCAGAAATTTATATAAAATTACAAAGTATACATAAACCAAATAGTTACCACAATAATAAATTTAAAGTGCGACAAAAATTATTAAATCAGCTGATACAAAATTATAATAATATAAAAAATTACTACATTTCATTACATAAAAACAGTTTCCCATTATTACTCAATCAAAAAATAATCAACAGRATAAAATCAATAAAAATAATTTTTGAATAATAATTTTTAAAATATAAATAAAGGAATATATTATATGCAATTAAAAAATAAATAAATATTTTTGAAGGATAACTAGAGCCGCCTCCACGTGGTGTCCTCTGGGTTACGCTAAATGGTTCTAATTTTTTTGTAAAATGTTTTAGGGCAATTTACGTAAGTGTAATACCGGTAGCAAAATG